GGTCAGCTTGAGATTGGATTGTTAGTAGCTCCTTGATTCATGCTGCGAAATTCTTTTCAATTTTTTAACAATGTATCCTTCAAAACGTACTCTCTTCAACCTTATTTTCTGATTGTTTGATTCTTTCCGAAGCCTCTTGCTGGTTTATATAAAAGCACTCTCATGTTAGACATTTGATTCTGTGTTGCAGGGGCTTGTGAATCTCAAGTCAGTTGATTTTTCAACATCTTACTCAATTGCAGGACTATTTTTAAGGTTTTCTTTTTGGCTTCTCATGGTCTATTGATGCATTACCCTCAAACCACCACCTTCATTACCCTTTTCTTCAACTGCATTTCACCACTTAAGTTGTTTAGGAACCTTGGCAACGGCTCAAATGGTCATTTACTAGAAGTCTTGATCCTTCGCGATTGCTTGCATCTCAAAGAAGTGAGTACATCAGAACATTACTTACATACCACTTTATAACATCCTATTTACATATTTAACACTCAAAATTTTAATATTACATACATACAACCCTATACTATTTTAATATCAAATATGCCACTTATATTTCTTTCCTAACATTCATATATTTCATTTCTACATCTCATATTTGATATAAAAATGAACTATGGGTGGTATGTAGGTAATATTAAAGTTTTAGGTGTTAAATATGTAAATAGAGTAGTACAGAATGATATATATATAAATCTCATATATTTCATTCCTACCACTCATATATTTCACGTTTGTCATCAGGAAATGTAATTTGCTAGATTTCTATGTTATGCAGGTTGAAATTGCTCGGTTTTTATCAGCTCTGATTTCTGGGGATTGTAAGCTCCTTAGATATTTGGTGTGTGCTGAGACTGCTGCCTGAGCTTTCACATACCTGTTAGGTTGTCTATACAGGTTAGTATGTAACTGCTTACCACATGGCGTTGACCATGAACAGGATATCTCAAACAAGGATGGCCTTTCTGCTGAGGATGACTGGAATGTTAGGCGCTACAGTCCAAGGTGACCTGTTATTTTTGGTGTAATAATTCTTCTGTGGCCTTATCATATTCTTACTAATCCATTCTTTCTCTACTCCATTAGTATTCCACTATCACGCATTTTGGAAGAGAGGCCTGACTTGTGCTTGCTTGCAAACTTTCCCCCGGATGAGTGGTTGTACTTTGTCACTCGAGCACTTTCTTTTTAAGTTATTTTTTCCTATTTATGCTTCGTTTCAGGACGGCTTTCTTACTACTTCTTAAAGCAGCTTTCTATTACAAAAGTTTTAATTTTTGTACTAAAAAAATGCTTAGGAAGCAATAAGAAAGCCATCCCAAACGGAGCCTTAGCCATCTTCTTTAAATACTTCTCTGTGTGATTACTGCAGCTGCATGGATATTGAACAAACCAGCGATCGAGAAGCAGGCAGCGACTCTAGCTTGCAAATTGAGAACAATCAGCTATTGAGTACAGATTACTTGGATTCATCTGATAGTAGCTATGGCAGTATTTTGGCCAGTGGAAGTGAAGACGCCTTTGATTCCAATTATGCATTATATGATGGGGATAGCTTAGATGAGCTCGAATTCAGTTAACCTATTGAAGAAAACCTGGCTCAACGCAAGTCGATGCAGTATAAGAGTAAATAAATTCTCTCGCTCTTTTTTCTCTTTCACACAACCACTCATTTACGCACATAAACTCAAATGGAAGTAGTGAATTATAATTGATGACAGCACATTTATCTTTGCTGATGTACCTATGCATGCCCAGTCTTTCTCTCAATATTATAATTTGATCATTGGATGGTATTAGCTTAATCGCTAATGCCTTTATCCGCATATGGCTATCCATTGAAGCGTTGAATTATATGGGGTAGAAGTAGCTTCATCTTTTATTTTTAAGCTGTTTGATTGCCACATTTCGCTTTTCATATGACATCCATGATGAAGTAGTGATGCTAGACTGTGTTAGACCGGCCCCTAGTGGTTTTATTCGCATATGGCTATCCATTGGAGCGTTGAATTATATTGGAAGTAGGTACATCTTTTATTTTTAAGCTGTTTGCTTGCCTCATTTCCTAGTGATGCCAGTTTGTGTTAGACCGGCCCCTTGTGGACCGGTCCAGTCGGCCCCTCACGTCTATAGCAAGAGGGGGCGGCGAGAGAGAGAGAGAGAGAGAGAGAGAGAGAGAGAGAGAGAGAGAAGGGGTGGGGTCCACTTGATTTCAAATTCAAAATTGGAGCCAAAAGAGGGGGCAAGGGCCTTTAGATCTTTTTGTTTTATTGTTTTAATTGTATGCCTTAAGTATGGGAGGGAGATTAGGGTTAGGGTTATGTTTTGATTATTGTGTTATTGTGAGGATTCTTCTTGTTGGTGTCTTGGGCTCTAGATTCATCAGGAGATTGGAGAGACAATCATCCTCTCGAATTGATGATCAATTGTATCGTTGTTTCATTGTTTTCATTAGTCCTCTCTTTTACAATCCAAATACAATTTGGAGAGTTTTTCACTAGATTTTTGTGTGTTTTTCTTGCTTTTTTTTCCTATTCTTGTTAGGGTTTACTTGAAATATTCAAGTATTTTCTATTAGACTACAGACACTGTTACCATTGAATATCTATTGTTTCCTCAAGCGTATCCTATGGATTCTATTTCTAAGCTCAGTTTTTTTTTTAATACTACCATATTAGATATCTTTGATTAAATATAAATTTGTTCTGCCAGTTTTCAATTTTATGTGTGCATATTAGATGTCTGGTTCTGTCCAAGGTAAGTCATCTTTTTGTCACAGCATGAGGGTTGGATTTCTTATTTTGATAAACCCTTCTTTGATCAATTTTTTTCTACATGATTTTGAGTTGTTAGAGTTCTTAATTTTGTCTACATTTGACATAAATGGGATTTTATTTGTGGTGATTAGATTACAATTCATCACTAATTTTACATTGTGCAATTTTTTTTTTCAAATTTATGCGATGATTACTATATTCTTGATTTAATTCTAATTCTCATATTTATTGTTTGTATTGCTACAACAACAACAAGCCTTAATCCCACTATATGTGGGTTGGCTGCAGGAATCCTTTTTTTTCATTGTGTTTTGTTAAGAGTCAAATTCTCATTTAAATCTAATAAAGAAATGTTATTTCTAATATTTTCTAACCAAGTCTTTCTTTGGTCTATCTATACCTTTTTTAACATAAGCCAAATCTGATAAATGGAAGGCTGACGTTTTATGTGACCAAATCATCTAAGATGACTCTCTTTAATTTTATCTTCCGCAAGAGTTACTCCAACCTTTTCAAGTATATGCTCATTTCATAACTTATATGTAAGAGTAAAGTCACTCATCCACCTGAGCATCCTCATCTCTACACAACGTAATATTATGCTTCTCTTTAATGACCAACATTTTACATCATAAAGCATCATCTTATAGAATTCTCTCTTAGGTTTGAGAGGGATTTTTCTATTAACATTGTCATTATCAGGTCTCAAATTTTGGATGAGAAAAATAGAGGGTTGTGTTAGGTGGTCGGTAACTACCATAAAATTTATTGAATAATCGTGACATATTTATTATTTATATTTAAAGAAAATAAATTTCTATCTTATTTAATAATTTGTGATATATGAATGTTTAGTTCTTTTGTTTGATTACATAATATTCATAATTCAAATATATTAGGAAATACTAACTCTAACTCATCCTATATCAAATTGATATCAAAGTTTATGGTTATATGATAATGTCAATTAAATATAGAACATATTAATTATGTCAATAAAAAAATGAATTATAATTTTAGTATTTTGATGTTCAATGTCATGTTTAAATTTGAAAGGGGTAGATGCTACAAAATTTTGAGTGAAAATAATGACTTGGAAGACTTGTTTGAACATTATCATTTATTTGATTAAAAAAAATTAATGAAACAAAATCAGTTAAAGAAATATCGACCGTGTGATCGATAATATTGAGAGGCTTATAATATTAACTTTGTATTGTATTAATTTTAATGTAAATTCAATGAATACAAAATTTATTTTGATAAAAGATTTTGGAATTAAAAAAAAAGAGTTCAGTGGTGATTTAAAAAAAATACAAAAATGATGATTTTATTTTTTTACATAACATAATTAAATTTACAATAATTGATTTAAAAAAATATGTTTTTTAATATATATACAACCAAAAAATTAATCAACTTAATATTTCAATTTTTTAATGATGAATTTTTTAGTTATCTTATCAGTTTGATAAAAGTATAAAATATGAATAATAATAAAATTTTATATTATTGTTATTTCAAAATCAATTTTATTTTCTTAAAACTCATTATATTTAAATTTAAATTAATAAAGTCTGAATTTTTTTTTTTTCAAATTTTATCAGAGATCTTCATGTTCTTGAAACTCTGAAAAAGGGATATTTGGGTCATTTTGTCTCAAGCAATGACAATAAGATTCAACAATAATTAACTATAAGTCTATAAAGTATATGAAACCCAGTCAAGTTAAGTATATCATTAATGTCCTTCTCATTTTTTATTGTTATTTTGAAAGAAAAAAAATGAAAAAAAAAGTGGTAAGATATACTGATATAATTTGTGTCCATCTAGGCTTGAATTCTTATGATTTTTTTGCTGACATTAGTGCAGATCATCGTATGATATGTAAGCACTAATCTCAACGTAAATTTAAGAGTAATTGGGTTGAAAGAAAAATTATAATCACGAGTGTAATCATCAATAGAGAAAACATGACATCAATAACATATTTTTTATGGAGAAAATATTACGTGCAGACATAGGATGTAGAGCTACATATTGCTATAATTACTATTCATTTGCTATATATTAGCTAATTCACAATAATACATAGTAATATTTTATTAACGCATTATATTTTCATTGGAGTCCGAACATAATTTCTGTGTCTGATATTCGCAAGTAATAATCTCTCCTTTCTATGATAATTAGAGAAGACCCCATATATCAAACTGAACAAAATCAAATCGGGCTAGGGAGTATAAGATCTAAATTGATAAAATAAAAGATGAAAAGTTAGGGAGTATAAGATCTAAATTGATAGAGATATGCCTGAAGAATTTGTGGGGATGATAAACCCTCTTGAATTAATAGAGATAAGAGGGCTCTGATAAAAATATTGTCAATGTATTTCAAAGCCAACACAAAGGGCCATAAAAAAATGGATCAAATATTGCTCCTCTATATGAGCAATATAAAGAGCAAATGCTTAAAGCTCAGCTAATTCTATAAGAGCGAATTGATCCCAAAGATTGCTCATGGCAGAATAAAATTCTTGAATGCTCTTATTATTTTGTTTAAGGGTTCTAATTTTTGTATTAAAAAGTTTTAGGAAATATTTGAAGTTCACAAGTTAAACTTAACGATCTTGACAAAAATAGCAAGAACGATCCACAAATCTAATAAAAACTAGAAAACATTAATTTTTATTGTAATAATCAAACTAATAGAAGAAAAATAGTAAGATATAATTGATCCTCAATTCGAGAGAGGAGGGTCTATCTCTTCCAATCCCTAGATGCTGCTAGAGCCTAAATCACCAAAACTCTAAGAACGAAATCAGCCACAATAATTTGCATAACCCTAATCCTAGTTTCATTTCCCTATTTAAAACATAACTTCAAATACCTAAGCCCAATTCTCCCTCCAACCCTAACTGCCGCTCTCCTTATGAAATTCTTTAATGGGGTCCACACAAGCATTGATAGCAATCCCCAAGGGGTTGACTGGCTTAGTCTAACTCCAATAGAATTGGGCTGGCCCCTTATCTTGGGTTAGAAGGACCAGTCCATATTCGATCAATTTAACAAAAAAAATTACTTTAAAAAACAGTAAAAAAAAAAAAAACAAAAAACCATTCCAAATAAAACCTTAGTTAATATTATTTTAAAACTTTATAATATCTATATAGGTGTTATAAATGATTCCAAAAACTCTTTTATCATTTCAAAGTTTTGTCAATTAGAATGATTTTCCGAGATATAGCCGCACACTTTCATTTCAATAAAAAACAAACAAAAATCAAACAAATTTGTCTGAGAATTCCATCAAATCACGGATGCGGACGATTTTTTTACTGTTTTCTAAAAAACTGCTTTATAAAGCAGTAAAAAAATCATTCCAAACAAATCATGAATCATTGAATTATATCATGTTCCCACAAGGCAACAGACAGATCGACGGGTATCGTGGTTCTCAAAAATTAAAAATCAACATAATAATGGTTGCTCATATAGCTAGCCATTCCTGTTTACAGAATCATAGATGGATTGATAGGTGAATTTCACTGACAAAAGATTAATTTACAACAAAGATTTAGGTTTCGTTTGAGATAACTTTCTTACTGCTTCTTAAAGCAGTTTTTTACTATAACAAATAAAATTTTTATACTAAAAAACTGTTTTAAGAAGCAGTAAGAAAATCATCCCAAACGAATTCTTAGAAGAATAATATAGCGATCTCCAATTACCCCCACCCTAACCTTATATGTCAATCTGTAACAGGTAAAGATCAAATCCACCAACACTTCTCAGGAGAAAATTTTGTATTACGATATATTGATAGAGCTTATACATTTAAAAATTATTGAATTTATTTTGAGAATAGTTATATATTATAATATTCGCAAAACAAATCAATAATTTTTAAACTCATTCTAATACAATTTATATCAAGAATATTCTAACACAATTTTTTTTTTTTTCATTTCTCGACGAGGTTTTGTTTGGGATAGCTTTCTTTCTGCTTCTTAAAGCAGCTTCCTAGTACAAAAATTTTATTTTTTATACTAGAAAATTACTTTAAAAAGCAGAAAGAAAGCTGTCCCAAACGAAACCTCATTTACTGTTTTTGAAACCGAAAGTATCTTCAACGCCACTGTTCACTTTTTTCCTGCGCTCGGAAATCATATTAGAATAAGCCTGCAAAATATGAATTGAATTCAGAAATAATCTAAGAAAGTGAAATAACAATATTAGAATTGAACATGCAGAATATGCAATAACCTCACAAATGGTAAGGAGATCTAATATTAACCAAAATTAAGGGGGACATTAGGAAGGGAATTCATTCTAACGCTCCATTAAAGCTAAAATTTTAAGCACTAAAAAATAGGGGTGTCAATATTCGACACAACTCGAAAATCCGGCCTGAACCCAATCCAAAAATTTCGGATTTGGGTTAACCCGAACCTAGTTAGGGATTTCAACCCGTTTGTAAAACAGAGTCGGATTCGGGTTGACCCGGAAATTCGAAATCAACCCGATTTGACATGTTTTTAATTGATTTATGAGGGTTTTAGAAAATTGTTACGAAATAAGTAAATGCGATTTCTATAAAATAATAAACCATGTTACCCAAATTGAATTAAGCTTGATTTATTTTAAATTGATTGAAGTAAATCTTACCTTAATTCAATTTAGGTTTAAATAAATCAAATTAAATAAAAATATTTTAGTAAAACATAAAAGAAGCGAGTCGGGTTTGGGTTGACCCGGACCCAAAGCAGGTCATGTTCAGGTCTGAAAAACCGACCCGGAAGGCATCTGCATCTGAGTATCCAGTGTTTGGCCCAAAATATTTTCTGACCCCTATGATTCCTATTCATAGTATTATTGACTCATGAAGAAAGAATATGCGACAACAATGTAATTAATAGGTTGAGAACCATAAAGAAAGAAAGAATAATAGAAGATAAGACCTCCCATCAATAATAGTTGCTAATGCCATTACAGATGGACTTTAGAGCGCATAGAAAAACTGAAGAAGAAGAAGAAGTGGATGTTGAATGCTTCTCAGCAAAAGTAGGTGACCAACTTAGTTTTCACATTGTATTTCTGCCTTCTTCAGCTACTGGAAAGGTAGAGCTTTGTAATTTAAAATCAAGATGAGTGGATTTATTCTGATTGATCAAGGCTCAATCGTTTTTCCCCTTTCACTTTTTTCATGTAATTAATCTATGCATGCTTTGGATCTATACAACTTTACCAGCAAAAGCTCAAAGAAAAGAAACATAAAGAAGAATTTCACTTAAAGCTTCGCATATCAAGAATAAGGCATGCATTGGATGATAAATATCGTATTCCAAGCTTCGCAGAATCAGAAGACAGATCGTCACACGAATATTTATCAAAGCAATCAAAGCTTGTGAAGCAAATGGATTCCATAAAATATTTCAGGAGCAGATCTCCAAAGAACTTGACAAAATGTTGGGAAGAGAAAGAATTGCAAGATTTACAGTAGTAAGAATTTTGCATTTTAACTAAAAAATAAGGCTGGACTTGGAGACACTAAAGCCCATTCAAACGTATTTGTGAGACTTGCATTGCATATGAGTCCAAGTCATCTCAGCATAAACTAAGGCTTGTTTGGGACGACTTTTTTACTGCTTCTTAAAACAGATTTATAGTACAAAAATTAAAATATTTTGTACTAAAAAGCCATTTTAAGAAATAGTAAAAAAACCGTCCCAAACAAAGCCTAAGGCCTTGTTTGGTACTACTTTCTTTCTGCTTCTTAAAGCAGCTTTTTAGTACAAAATTAAAAAATTTTATACTAGAAAGCTGCTTTAAGAAGAAGAAAGAAAGCCATCCCAAACGAAGTCTAAGTCTAGTTTGAAGAAGCTCAGGGCTGTTTCATATTGACCTTCAATCATTCTGGGCGATTCAATAATGCATTAATCTTTGGGCTAGGTCCCTCTCATCAACCCAAAATCTCAACTTTCCTATTCAAAGAGAGGTTATGACAGTAGTTTTCCCCCATAAAGTAGCAACTATAAAGAATTTGGAGAAGGCTATAGGGATAAAAGATAAACACTTTTGGGGCAAAAAGAAGATTTGGACCTAATCAATCAAATAGCACAAACACCCTAATTAATCAACCGCGTTAAATCTCTGATTTGATCAATTTGCCCGACAAACTTCGAATCACTAAACAAGTGGATTAGCATGTTAGCATGTTAAAGCACATACCTTGGGATAGGCGTAGAGAAAAATGTACCACCACGCAAATATCAAGCAAGAAACCCCAATGCTGATTACAATCGAGTGAAGCCATAACCAACTAGATGCAGTCACAATCACTCCCGTTAGCACTATCGTCCATGGTTGACACCTAAGACGAGCTCCATGTTAGTAAGTGTTGACAAGGAGATCAAAATTGGACATGATACAACAACAATCAAACTAAGGCTTCGTTTGGGACGGCTTATTTACTGCTTAAAACAGTTTTTTAGTTAAAAAATTTTAATTTTTGTACTAAAAAGTTGCTGTAAGAAGCAGTAAGAAAGTCATCCCAAACGAAGCCTAATTCTTAACCCAAAAAGCATGAGCCTATTGGCGAGGGCCATCGCTTCCCTTCAAATGAAAGTTTTTGAAGTTCATAAAAATCATGCACCAAAATTCTACTAAATTCTCAACAATTATGTGGAGCCATTATGTAAGTAACATGCACTTGAACCTTTCCTAAAAATAATAGAGCCGTGAACTTCATGAAACATTCGATCCTACTAGAACTTGCCTCTTATATCATTTATTAGAGAGGGTAGTTCAAATCCATTCCTAACCCAAAAGCTTAAGCCTTAAGGGCTGCTTAGAATAAGCTCAATGATAAAATTCTAGCCTCAAAACCTTAAGCATGACAAAAAGATAAGATGATATCAGTTCAAAAGCAATTTGCAAGAAAAGAAAAAGAAGAATTATTTGTGTCAGCTAGTTTTAAGTTAATTAATTAATGACTATGTTAGTTAGAATAGTTAGAAATCAATTAGTTTTATTAATGATGAACAACGATCTAACAAATACACCGTCAATGAAAATTATGGCAACAGCTCTAACTACAACATGAATAATGTTTATGACCTTGCGAAAAATGATGGCTACATCATCAATGATGAAGGTAACACAATGTGATGATGAAGATGCATTCATATGAATGATGAAATTGATTAATGGGGTGAGCATGTGATGAAGGTCCGATGCAACAAGAGAAGGAAGAAAATATTAAGTCAACTTAAGCCTATTTTGTGCTCTTAACATGACCATGGTTTAGCCTGACTTCAACAACAAAAGGTTAAAGTTTTCAGACTCATGAAAGTGATATAAAGGTTGATTGGTTTGACTTGCAAAGGCGTAATATAACTTAAAGCAAACTTAAATCATAACCAAACACGGCCCCAAGAAAAGATGCTATTAGTATTTCAACTCTGGTTGTTTAGTTTATGTAGATAACAGTGTTATCTTATAACAATGTTATCTATCAAGGAAAATGCTTTCTTTATCTAGAAAGATCAATGGAGATTATTTTTTTCCTGTTATCATTTATTTTGGCCACCATAAAGTCAAACATCTAAGGAGATGTCAATGGATATGGACAATCAGTGGCGGAGCCAAAAAATATATCTAGGGGGGGCCTAAATTTTTTTTTTTTATTTAATTTTCCTTCAACTTTTTACATCTAGGCTTAGAACCAATATAATCAGTATTAAAAAAGATAAAACTTTGGTAGTGAATTAGTTTATTTTATTCCTTCACAAAATGACTTCAATCATCAAATCACTTGATTTCTGCTAGAACATGTTTAATATATTAACTAAATATGTGATATTAAAAATCTCATTGCACAAAAAAAAGCATAAAATCTCTTTAAGATCGAATTAATATAGGATTAAGATAATATCAATCAAGAAAAAAATGTAAATTAATAGGAAATTAAATTGGGAGTGATTTGAATGGATGATCAATCTTGATCGTGGACTGTTTATTGGGCATTTAAATGTCTTAGTGATGTCAGAATTTGGCGATCTTGGGCTCGTTGGATTCGTCCTGTCTAGCCGCTCTATTCGACTATAAGAACGTCATGTTTGGAAACCGTTTGGTAATACAAATTATGGTTTGAACCTTCCAAATATGCTTCAGGTCTTTGATTTGGAGTCATTTAGGTTCGGATTAGTTGAATTTGGTGTTGTTGGGTTAATATTTTAGAGATGTTCAGTTCGACTATAAGTTTACTGAAATCGGAGTTCATATGTCTCTGATTTAATTCTTGAAGTTTCCAACTTGATTTTGTGTTGAGATTAAAAAATAAAAAATTTCAATTTTTTTAGGAAACTTATAGTCCGATTTCAGTAAACACAATCAAGTAAACTATCCAATACAACATGATTCATCATTCAAAAAATTCAAAATATCTAGATATCATCAAAAAATTCAAAATAAGACTTAAATTTCATTCATGATGCCAATAAACTATCCCATACAACATTTTTTTTTCAATTATCTGATATGAGACGCCAAATACTTCGTCAATGCCTAGAGTAAGCTAAAAACTGATCAAAATGGCATAAATTTGGTTGCCAGAGAACAACTCACCAATAGGGTTTGGTATCCCAAACAGACTCGTACTCCAGCGAGAGGTAATTGAGATACCCATCCATGTCGTCGATGGCGCCATCATCGTCAAAGAAGACGGATTCGTCGGGCTTCTTGCCATTGATACTGCTGCGTAGAGCGGTGGATTCGCGCCGGAATGAAAAGGGAGGAGCTTTCGTCCAATAGGGCTTTGAGACGCATGAGAAGAAGAGAGAAGAAGGGAGAGATTTGGGCGAGAGGTGTCGCCTGAACGGAGGTGGAATGGAGAGGGGAAGAAGGTCGAGAGCTCGCATCATCCTTCAGAATGGCTGAAGAAAATATCTTTCTTATCCATAGTTTGTAAATGAAAATAACATATAAATGTATCATTTGATTTAAGTAAAATAATTGGAAGCTTTATTGTTCTAATTTTGTGAGGCTCTACCCATAAGAGAGTATATTTGAGGCTAGGAGTATGAGTGAGTGGCTCGAACTCTACTCCGTAAAGAGCTTGTGAGTCGAATTTATCGAGCTTCAAGCTCAAGCTAGAGCTCAAACTTAAGCTCGCATGTAAATGAGTTTCAGCTTGATGAGACTCGACTCGTCGGCTTGTGAGTTGGCTCAATCAAACTAATATAAAAAAAGTTATATTATTTAAAAAATACATATTTTTGTAAATACATGTTGTAACTTGACAACCACTTTTGAACTTTCTAAAAAAACATATTATTTATTTTTTCAAACAAATTGCTCTTGTTGTTCTCCTCAAAAAAAGATGTTCTTATTCCTCTTTTCCTCTATTGGGCTGCTGTTGAGCTCCTTAATGTGTATGTCAGACTCACGAGTTCGGCTACAACATAACTTTGATGATCCGACATCCTCACTTCCTTCTTTCTCCAACAAGCTAAGCTCACGGTTCGAGTTTCTTGACCTCCTTCGGCTTGCCTTGATGACTATTCGAGCTCAAGCCCACTATCTCCGACGACTAGGCATTCTAATTTCCTTCTCTGGTAAGGCAACCTAGCGAGTCAAGCTCGATCCCATTGTAATTCTGTTGAGCCAAGCTCTAACTCGAGCTTGAGCTGGAGTTCGAGCTTGTCTTTAAGTTAGCCCAAACTTGAGCTTGACTCGACTTGACTCGTTTACACTCCTAATTGAGGCTCTCTCTCTCTCTCTCTCTCTCTCTCTCTCTCTCTCTCTCTCTTTGCTTGTAAAGTGCTACATTTGATTGACCTTCTTTCTTACATTTTAATTTGATATGACTTGTAGGGGCTTTTTGGTTGAAAATAAAGTAGGTGTAAATTATTCTTTTTGCAGGAGTTTTGAAAACATTGTTGTTTGATTAGATGACAAAGGAAAGTAGTGTGAAGTATTTTAAATGTAATGAAAAGTATTCTAGTTCATTATTTAGGTAAAGTAAACTTGTTAAATTTTGAGTGAAAATTGTTTTCACAACAACCAAGCTACCTTAACATCACCCCCACCATCCATCGCCACCGCTGACTGACCATTATCATTTTGAACTTTAAACTGCATTCATTTTACTTCAAGGTAAAAAAACAGTTTCTCATACATTTGTTTTACACTCATCCAAACAACTTCAAACATTTTAGATATATTACATTCTTTTTTTAGCAAACAAATAGCCCCTTAATTGAACATAATAGTGAAAAAGGGTTTATACCCCACATTGGTAAGTAGCTAAAATGGCTAAATTTTGAACTATTCTTTAAATAACATAAAGCTAAATGTCCAAATAATATGGGACAAAAGGAAAAAAGAGAAGTAATCCCTTTATCATCCTACTTTTTCTTTGCCGAAATAAGAGAAAATTGACTCATGTTTTAATATAGGTTTAGCATAATTAAGGCCCTCTGACTACTGTCGCCCAACTATGGCTCTCCAAACACTATTGTCTGACTACAGTACTTCGACCATGATCCTTTGATTATGATCATTCAATTGCCATTGACAGACAATTTTTTTTTGACCCAGTCGCCCAAATGTGATCTCCTGACAACCTTCGCCAAGACTAGAGTCTACTAGCCATTGTCAAAGCTTTCACTGTGCAAGTTTGGATATATTATAGATTTGAACATTATAAATGATTTGATATGATTTTATTGCATTTTAAATGAAATACTAAATGATATCTGATATATGATATGAAAAATGTACATGATATCCTAGTAATCCACATGATTCACTAATTGGGAGTCATAAGAATTTGGAGATTGATTGAGAGTTATAATGAGTCAGGGTAACTGATTCACATGATTTAGGAGAAATTATAAGGAGTACATTGATTGGGAGTTATAAGGGGTGATTGGGAGTCATAAGAATTTGGAGATTGATTGAGAGTTATAATGAGTCAGGGTAACTGATTCACATGATTTAGGAGAAATTATAAGGAGTACATTGATTGGGAGTTATAAGGGGTGACTAATTGAGAGTCATAAGTGTAGGAGAGAAAAAGATCTTTGGATCATATTTATTAGTTATTCATGTTATAGATTTTGTTGTGACAAAGGATACAAGGCAGAAAAGAAGAATATACTTACCAAAATTTCCCTGAAGCTTGTTGCTTGTTTTATTTTCCCTGTTTCATTGTTTGATCTGCAGGTAGCTGGAGTCCACGGTGCAGGTATCACACCAAGTTGGTATCAGAGCAGCTCTCCTGAGTAGACAATGGCGGAAGGAAGCTCACGAACAACTCTTGGCGATGACCGGAGTTTGGATGCCCTATGGAGGGAGCAAACCAAATTGGCAAAGCAATTGGAAGAACTCAATGCAAGCTTCAATCGTTTCTCCATGGAGGTTAGCAAGCTTCAATCGTTTCGCCATGGAGGTCCGACTAGGATTGCAAGCCAATCAGATTCGAGGTCCAGCGAATCCCGTTGCACGACGAGCAGTTCATGCTCCAGGGCAGCCAATGCGGGAAAACCCAATTGGATTGGGGCGAGGCAGGCGGAGAGCTGAACAGTTCGCAGAATCAGGAGGATCGGAGGATGAAATCGAAGCTCTGCATCAATTTGAGAACTCCGATTCAGATAATGAAGCAGCTCCGTTGCCAGATTATAGGAGACAAACTTTCGGTTACCAGCAAAGACCGATTGGTGAGTTTCGAATTAAACTTGATATCCCTTTTTTTTACGGACGTTTGCATATTGAGGATTTCCTTGATTGGGAGAGAGCCGTCGAAGCTTTTTTTGAATACATGGAGATCCCAGTGGAGAAGCAAGTGAAATACGTTGCCTGCCGTTTGAAAGGGGGAGCTAGTGCTTGGTGGCAACAATTGTTACAGATCCGTCGGCGAGAAGGAAAAGGGACAGTTCGCAGTTGGTTCCGCATGAAGCAGCTACTTCGGAGCCATTACCTTCCGACTGATTTTGAACAGATGCTATACATACAGTATCAACATTGTGTCCAGGGCAATCGCAATGTTACAGATTATACGGAGGAGTTTTATCGATTAAGTGCACGGAATAATCTTAATGAGTCGGAAAACCAATTGGTGGCCAGATATATAGGGGGGTTGAAGGACAATTTGCAAGATAAATTAGAATTGAATTCTGTTTGGTCTCTATCCCAAGCAGTCAATTTCGCGTTGAAAGCTGAAATGCAGATCTCGAGACATTCACGTAGTTCTTCCAGCCGTAAGCATGTTCAAGAACAATATAGTGAACAGAGAACTGATGCAGGATCCAGCAAGCA